AGAGCTTCAAGCAGTGTAGTTCCACTGGCATTGCCATCTTTACGGGTGACTTTCCATCCCTTGAACCATGGCATATTAGCACTTGGCTCCAACATGTTGTCACCATTCCAACCAGAAATTGGCACAAATGCTACTGTGTCGGGATTGTAGCCAATTTTCTTAATGTAGGTGCTGACTTCTTTAACAATTTCCTCATATCTCTTCTGACTGTAGGGTGGCTCAGTAGAATCCATTTTGTTAACACCAACAATTAGTTGTTTCACACCCAGTGTGTAAGCCAGAAGGGCATGCTCATGGGTCTGCCCATTCTTGGAGATACCATCTTTGAATTCACCAACACCAGCAGCAACAATCAGGACAGCACAGTCAGCCTGAGATGTGCCTGTAACCATGTTCTTGATAAAGTCTCTGTGTCCTGGGGCATCGATGATAGTCACATAACACTTTCTGGTCTCAAATTTCCACAGGGAGATATCAATGGTGATACCACACTCACGTTCAGCTTTTAGTTTATCTAAGACCCAGGCGTATTTGAAGGAGCCCTTTCCCATCTCAGCAGCCTCCTTCTCGAATTTCTCGATGGTTCTTTTGTCGATCCCACCACATTTGTAGATCAGATGGCCAGTAGTGGTGGACTTGCCGGAATCTACGTGTCCAATGACAACGATGTTGATGTGAGTCTTCTCCTTTCCCATTTTGGCTTTGATTTAGCAGTGGTTTTCACAACATCTGTGTTCTGGTGGCAAACCCGTTGCGAAAAAGCTTAAGTTTTTTTTTTTTTTTGTTGTTGTTTTTGTTTTTTACAGGGTACCTGTGCTTGCCAGAGAGAGAGTGAGAGGGATAGTGAGAAATCATCCCACAGGGTCATGGCCACGCTGCAATCTCTCTTTCTCCACTCTCCCCATTAGGATTTTAGGCCTGCACACAATGTGTCTGGCAAGATTTTCAAGCCACCAGGTCCAGGACTCAAACTGTGGCTGACCAGGTGGAAAGCCAGTGTCTTAACCACTATACCTCCTGCTAGCTCCATGATTTTAATTTTAATTTCCCTGTGATTAATCATTTCATGCATCTTTTCATGTGCTTATTTTCCATGTGTATATCTTCTTTTATAAAGTGTCCAAATCTTTCACCAATTTAAACTGGGTTGTTTCCTTAAAATTGAGGTTCTAAAATTTAAAAAAAGATACTGTATAGGGTTATTCCATCATCACCACAATCCAACTTTAGAACATTTCCATCACCCCAAAACTGTCCCTAGAGCCCATTTAGTTACTTCGTGGTCTTACCTCTCTAGGCCCAATCAACTTACTTTTTGGCTCAGTAAATTTGCCATTTTTGGAAATTTCATATAATTCGTAGTCTTTTGTGCCTGGCTTCATTCACTTAGCATAGTACAGTTCATCCATGTTATAGCATGTATCTGTATTTGTCCCTTTTTATTGCTGAGTCATATTCTACTGTATGAATATTTTAATACCATGGTTTGTTTATCCATTTACTAGCTGATAAACATTTGGACTATTTTCTTTTTCTTTTCTCTTCTTTCTTTTTTTTTTTTTTTTTCTATTTTTAGTTTTTTTTTTTTTGCCATAGAATGTGTGTGCTTACCAAAGAGAGAGAGAGAGAAGACAAAGAGTGGGAAAGTGAGAAATCACCCCTCACCACCACCACCATCTTGGGGGAATGATCATGTTGCAATCCCTTCTCCATTCTCCTCCTGGGATTTTGGTCATGTGCATACATGCATCTGGCATGATTTTTAGGCTGCCAGGTCCAGGACTTGAACTAAGGTTGGCCATGAGGGAATTTAGTGTCTTCACCATCACACCACCTGATGGCCCTTAGACATTAGGAGTATTTACAGCTTTTACTTGCTATGAATATTGCTACTATGAATATTATTGAGTTTTGAGAATTCTTTATATATTCTAGTTATTATTATTATTTTTAATTAAGATAAGATCTTGCCATGTTATGATCCTCCTTCCTGAATCTCTGAGCAAGTATTATAGGCACATAACACTATACCCGGCCTGTGGTTAGAGCGATTTTTGCTATAGGCCACATGTACTTGCTGGAGAGCCAGAGCCAGAGACAGAAAGTGAGAAGTCAACTCCCCCCACCTCCCCCAGGAGATGGCCACTCTGCAATCCCTTCTCCTCCATTCTCCTCTCAGGATCTGGAACATGCACGCACACGTGCCTGGTATGAGTTTTTTTTTTTTTTTTTTTTTTTTTTAGGCGCGGCTCCCCCCCCCAGA